CAGCATGACATGATAATTTTAGATGGTCATCACGTCACAACCATGAGAAGCTACATGACCTGAAAGGGCACTGTTTTTATTGTTTGAAGCAATCATATGTCTGTCCATTTTAAAATCTTTTAATCTTTTCATTGTGATATATATGTATATATAACTAAATTATTTCATCTAATTTTTAACTTTAATTTTTTAAAAAGGGATAAAAAGTATTTATCTTCTTCAAAATTTATTTAAATAACATTCAATTCTATTTTTAATTAGAAAATTTATGAGAATGGTGTTGAATGTAAATGAGAAAATTAGAAATCGATGAGGCTGTATTCATGGGTAGAAGATTTGGAGGATCTCAAATGGTTATCCCATTTCGCGGAGGATTCTTTTTCAGCATACTCCCCTGCGTACTCCACTGAAAAATTGTCAAAAGAGCCGGGAAAAAGCTCGGTTGAACCACCTGAAATTCTGGTTATAACTTCACTTGATCGTGGCTTGACTAAGCGCACCCACACATGGCACAGCAGAGCCCGACGCTCTACCTAGGGCGTGACTGGCTAGAGGTGGCGATTGGCTTCCGCAAGCTTTGTAGGAGGCAATCGACTACTCCAGTGGTCGACAAATGACATCTACGGCTGAACAACATTGATCAATTGCCAGTTGGCGGCGCCGGTCACATGATAGGAGGTTAGCGCCCCAATGCCAAAACATAACATAGCATGATAATTTTGGATGGTCATCACAACCCAATCTCTTGGTGTAGCCCATTGTTTTGATTGTTGGGCGGGATCAAGGGTCTATCCATTTCAAAATTTATTCATTTCTTTATTTTAATACAAATTTTTTATATTTTTTAAAATTATTCCATCAATTTTTAATTTCATTTTTTTTAAAAAAAATTGTATCAATTTCAAATACAAAAATAAATTCTCCCTAGTCGGTTTTTTTATTTTTTAATTTATTTATAATCTCCCACATGATCCAAGCCTTTGGGCTTTAGAATTGGAATTTTCTGGGCAGGTCTCCATCAATCCCCTCACTTCATTCTCCTTCATCTTTTTTAAAGGAAAATAAAACGAGAGATTGGGCAAATATTCTATTGACCAATCATTTTGCAGATTTCGCTTTATGCCACTAGTGGATAATTATAAATATTTAATAAATTATTATTTCACCAAAACCACATTAATAGAAAAAAATTAAAAATTCTCTCAATTTCCTTGCCATAAAAAATCCAAAATCATAGTAATCGTGTGCAATTTGGTCCTAATGGTACCTTATATGTTATTTCATTTTTTGGTTGGGGAAAAAAGGAAAATAAAAGGACAAGGAGGGAGCCACTAGCAATATCAATTCTTCCTATACATTATTAATCAAATATTTAGAGGGAGGTCACCACACTATCATTCTACTGCATTTCTTTTTTACAATTAGTTGCCCACGTCAAATATTATTTTGACCATTTTTGCTATTTTTCATCCTATAATTTTTAAGGAAAATTGGAAAATAAAACGATAATAAATTTCAATTAAAAATAAAGTTATTTCATAATTAAAATATCATTTTTCTTGAATTTTTATTTTCTTTAAAAAAAAATCCGACTACCGAAAGTGTAAAACAGACCACGATCGAGGCATTTTGTCAGTGTCTCATGATTGTGCTTTTGTTTTTGTGTTGCTCCCACAACCGTAGATCTGTCTGCGGTGGAAAAGGATGTTTTGCATGAAATAAAATAAAATAAAGTAAAAATGAAATTTTACATTAAATTTGTGGGCCTTGGTGGGGCCCAACATTAGTGACAGACCCGTGACTAACGAGGCCCAGTTGCTCCCAACAAAGGCAAGTTGGGTGGTTACTTTTGGACTCTTCCATTCTCCCACTCCTCTCCTCACTTCCCCATGTTGGGCCCATCTATGCAGGTGAATTAAATAATTTATAGTTTCCCAGAGACAGGTCAGCTGTCCAGAAAATGTAGGGCTGTTTGTTTATTAGATAGTGCGTTCTGATTTATTGAATTAACAGTTTTAATATTTATTAAATTAATATTTAATATTTATTTAATGGATTATATAATTATTAATTTAGTAAATTAATTTTTAATACCAGATACAGATTATTAGAAGTGATAAAATTTTTAAGAGTTGAATCAGGGGTTTTAACCCAACTTTTGGATTTTAATTTTTAGTATTTTTCTCTCTTTTTTAAATCCACTTATAGTCTTTCAAACATTTTTCTAACAAAATTTTTAAAATCTTTAACTTTTGGTTTAGTTTATTAACATAATTTAATTTGTTCTCAAAACTGATAGTATTAAATATTTAATACTTAAATTTGAAAAAAGGATTGAAAATGAATTTATATTATAAGTAGAGCATATATTAATTATTACTGAATACTTAATATATTTAAAAATATTTTATTTTTATCTTCATTTATTATAATAATTTAAGATGAATAAATAACTATTTTAATAATTATATTCAAACTTTTTAATCTTATTAAATAGGATCTTGGTTAATACAAGGACAAAAGGTTGAAAAGTTTTACCCAAATATTGGCAATATTAAAATTTAAAATTTATAATTTTATAAGAAATAGGAAAATATTAATGGGTAATTTTAATTTTATTATTTTTAAATGAACAGGGAAGTACATTTTTTTCTAGTAATAAATGTTAATGCACTCATTGATCTAATGTTTGACAACTAATGAAATTGATGTGCTTAGGTTTGCTCACACAACCTATTATCATAATCATCACAACTTTAATGTGGTAACGCTTCACGATGATGAGTTGGAATGATTTCAAATGCAATTAATTCTTCCTAAATTATAATTTTGTTTTATTTATTATTTTTTACTTTGTATAATGTACATAAATTCATACCTAAACTCAAAAGATTAATTGATAATACTTGTACGATGCCAAACAAAAAAATAAAGTCCAAACAGCTCACTAACTTATTATCTTAAAATATTTAAATTCAAATTATTTAAAAAATTATTCATTATTTAAACTCATATACAAGACAACAATATAAATATTTATTCTAATATCATATAAATTTCACAAATACGTAATATAAAATAGAAAATAATGTACTTAACTTGGTGTGTAATTTAAAAGTGTTTATTGGGTTTTTTATTATAAAAAAAATTTGAAGTTTTTGTGATGTTTGGCTTGTCTTGAAAAAAGCTAACATTTTTGTTTTGTTATAAAAAAAATACATGTGTAGGAAAACAAAAAATAGGTAAGTTAACTATTTATATTTTTTTGGTGTATCACATTTCCTTAACTGATTCTTTTGGATTTTCATTTTTTATATTAAATTAAATAATCTCAAAATGTAAAAATCAGGAATTTAAAAAATTATTTTTTGAATGGGCCAAACATCCCCTAGTAATGTTATTAGGAAATCTTTGATGTACAAATTATATATATATGTATATATAGAATTAAATAACTCAAAAGGGTGTTTTTCGAGGGTTTTTGACAAAAATAAGTATATTGTGATATATATTAAAATTTATAAAAAATTAAAATTCTCCTTTAAAATTCAGGCATTAATTCATATGAATTAAAAATTTCATATGCTAAAAAATTTAAAAAGTTATTTTATCAAATTTCTAAAAAAATTTTAAACATAAATTTTTTTTTACAAATTATTCACCGTCGATCCTGCTTATTTAATTCCACTACAAAGCCCCAGCTAGTGAGGTGGGAATGGAGAATTTCAAGCCTATCTATAATGGCTTGTGGAATTCGATACAAAGGTCCACTGTTATCATGATTTTTGTGCCACAATTTTGACCCCTACCTATTATTCAATAAATAAATTTTACCTGAATTTTCTCACTGTCCTTCGACCCAATATTAACTTTTAGTTTTTTAACTGCTCAAGACCCACTAGCTTTATATGAATTTGACTTACAAGTATACTTTTTACCTTTTATAATATATACACACATATATATATATATCAAATTTATTTGTTTTTTGAAAAAATCAGATTTTAAAGCTTCACATTATCCAAATGTTAAATGGATTTCAATTACCAAACTAGTTCATCCGAAAAAATCATTTTTTATTAATAATAGAAATGAAATTTCTTTTATTTTTCTTTTCTTGGCGGCCGTTGGCTAATACAGGATGAATTAGGTAAATTTACCCACAAGAAAAAGGGTCAAATTACTGCTTGACGACTCATCCGTTTCCACTCTATGAGATCCCATGTGGGTATCCCTCGAAGAACGAGACCTCTTAGCCATAAAGTGGTTGAAGGCTCGCCGACTTTTTAAAAAAATAAAAACAATTACATGAAATCTTACCCAAAAATCCCAATACTTTTCTGGGTTTTTGCCATTAGATTTTTGGGTTTTTTTTTTAAGTTAAAAAATAAAACCTTTCTAAAACCCAAATTTAAGACATTTTCTGGTACATTCAAAATAAAGATGAGATTATCCACATTTTGCCCAGTTGTTTTTTAGTGGGTTTCTGGTAAAGAAATTATAAAATATTCAGAGAATGCCGATATTTGCTTTACAGCAATCAAGCTTCATGATTTAAAAATGTGATATTCAGTAAATCAGAATATATAAAATGTAAAAAGGGTTCTTATTCTTTGTTTCTAGCTGTGGTCTGTTTGGGTTGGGCTAAGTTGTATGAGCTGGTACATATTTGTAGCTTTTGCTAAAGATAAAGGTGGTAATCTTATGTTTTCCTGAGTTACAGTTAGAAAGTTCCTTGCTCTAGGGTTCATTTCACCTTTCCTGTGTTTGTCTTTCGGTCTCAGAAGAGGGTGAGAATGCTTACAAACAGTATCCTTTCCAACCCCTCTTCTACTTTTCTTGTGTTTATCTTGCACGCCAATTGTTTGAAGCAATTCATGGGATAATTTTTCATTTTCTGGTTTTATAGATATTTTACTAGAATTAAGCTACTTAATAGTTTTTAGCTTAGAGAGAGAAGCTGCTTACGCTTTCCCTGATGTAGTAGTTTAGAGAAAGAGATGAGATCTTTGAGCGGTGTAGGACTTGCACTAAGCCTTGTTTTTGGTTGCCTTTTTCTAGCTCTTTTAGCTGAGCTCTACTACTTGTTATGGTGGAACAAGAGAATCACAAACAGAGAGATTGAAGATGATTATAGCAGCCCAACCAGAGAGTTTTTTTACATGTTTTGCTGGAAAAGGCCTACTTCTTTAAGCTCCACGGCTCTGAACCCCCAAGAGCTGTCTTCCCGTGTCCATGAGACAAACAAGGACTTCTGGCCAAAAGCCTTAGGAGAGGACGATGAGCTGAGGCTGCAAAACCTCTCAGGCCCACCAAGATTTCTCTTCACCATCAAAGAAGAGACAAAGGAAGATTTAGAATCTGAAGATTTGGAAAAGTCAAGAAGCAGAAGGAGCTTAAATGACCTACTCCTCACTATAGAAACACCATTCTTAACCCCTCTTGCTTCCCACAATACTTCACTCCTCCCCTTACTCCTGTATACTCGTACAATAACTACAAACACGGTTCTAATCCTTTGTTTGAATCAGCCACCGATGCAGAGTTCAATAGGATGAGGTCATCTCCACCCCCGAAGTTCAAGTTTTTGAAGGATGCTGAGGAAAAATTACAGAGAAAACTCAAGGAAGAGGCTGAGAATAGGGCTCATAAGATTGATGGATCAGTTGAAGAAGGAAATGAAGCTGCTTCACCATCAGTGACCCTCAGTGATGACGCAAAAGGGTCTTTTATCTCTATCATTGTTGCCAAGAACAAGTAGAGAGAGCTTCCTCGTCATCCCAATTCCACTCTCTCACAATCCAATTCAAGCTCTTCGCAGGTGATTCCTCTATCTTCTTTCCCTTCAACACTTAGATCACCAACGAACAAGAAACCCATCTCACATTAGAGCTCCCTCTTCTGAATTAACATGTAAAATTTTATTTTTCCTTTTTCTGTCTCTGTTTGTATGAATTTACTTCGGCTTTTTTTTTCTCTTCTTTTTAGGATCTTCTTTTTTTATTTTTGTTTTGGGGACCAGTTAACAAGAAACCCATTTCACATCAGAACTCCCTCATGAGAATTTAACATGTCAAACTTTCCTCTTCTTATTTTTTTCTGTTTCTGCTTGTATGAGTTTGCTTAAACTCTGTAAGTTTTAGGGTCCGGCTTTTCCTTAATTTTGTTTTGCGGAATGTTTGGGAATGGAGATATGATTTTCTGCAGGGCCCCTGTCTAATGTCTTTGGAATCTCCAAGAGGGACGACATGCCCTGTAAAAGATGCTGAGAGGTAAAATAGAGCTAGTGGAGGACTTGTGAGTTGATTTGTTTTATTCAATCTCCATGTCCCCTGACTTGTCTGATATTGGCTGTGACCATTCATGTGGTGGGTGGTACCACTGATGTTACTGTCCACAGAACATTGTAAAAACAATTTTAAAGCTTAAAGCACTTTTTGTTTATTGTCTTCTTTTCTTTTCCCCTGAACTAATATTCATTCACAACTTTTTAAACCATTGCATGTCTAACTCACAAATAAGAGCAACAGAGCAACGCCAAGGAATAATTTTGCACATTTATTTTATTTTATTTTTTTTGGTTGCTTGGGGAGATAAGGGTTAGATACAACACGTCAAACTCTTCTGCTCAGGGTGTGTTTGTTTAAGTTTTCTTTTAAATAAAAAAGTAATTTAAAAATATTTTAGAGTATTTGGGTAAATTTTTTAAAAAGCGTTTTTTCTAAAAAAATGAAATTTTGATTATTTTTAGAAATAGTATGGAATAAATTTTGAAAAAATCACTTCAAAATTATTTTTTTTTCCAAATGCATCCTAAATAATTCTAAGTAATGTGAAACATTGTCATATTATATTTTTTAAACTCGTCCAACGTAGTGACGAAAATTTACGTTGTCCCGGTTACATGACCACAATGTTGACGTGCTTCATCTCTTATAATTAGACGACGTCGTGTAATGTTATCTTAAAAGTGTGATATTGTCGCACCTCACGGAAATATGTTATGGTGCAGCCTAGGCCGCAAGAGTGAGATTAAGAGAGAGTACTACCCGAAGTAATCCGTTTACCATGTGTGCGAATGCAAGGAGAGGATGTGGGAAGGTTGGTTTTTATATTCTCTTCTATGGTTTTTGCCTTAAACAGCAACAGCATAAATGGAATACTTGTCACTCGTGACAAGGTCTCATGCCCAGAAGCCGAAAGCTGCCCATCTTCCAATGCTCTGTTTGGCATCGACTTTTATGAAAACCCTTCACATTATTACCGTGGACAAGTCCTCTCCACACAGCTCGTAAAAAGCTACAAGAAAGCTACAAGAAATATACACACTGTGTTGGATCTTCAGGAGATGTAAAATATAACCACTTCTTTTAGATTTCAATTTTTTATTTTCAATGGAATTTAGCTCACACGCTTTTAAAATTCTTTTGAGGTTTTTTTTTTAACAAAATAGACAATTATTTCACATAAATTCGAAGAAAATTTATAAATCAAATTACACCGAAAAACTAGATATTTTTTATAACTTCATAAAATAGCTTAAATATATAAAAAAAATCACTCATTTAAATAATTTATCATATATTTGGGCCACTTTGGCATTATTTACTTATTTATTGTTTGAAAAAAGACCTGGAGTAATTAAAGGGACAACATGTAAGCTATCAAAATTTTATTCTCAGAGCTCACCAAACCTAAATCTAGTAAGAAAACAGACACCTCAGTCGCCAGAAAATCCCATGCAGCAACACAAGTTATGTTTCAGCACAATGCGGTAAAACCATCAGTGACAGCAGATAGAGAGATGCAGCAGAAGGAGATAGAGCATCAGAAGATTTGGTAATGTAATGCATTAACCAAATCTAGGGACATAATTGGGAATAAAATTTAAGAAACAGATGGCAATATTCACGTCCAAGACAAGACTGACAAATCAACCAAAATAACTGAGAAAGTGCCAGTTACATTTTTGCTATGATGTTAGACTGAAGGTCTGAAATACATCCGTTTGCTACAGGATGGTATAGTAAAATAAGCAAAATAAAATATAAGTAATAAAATCCTGATACTTCTCTCACAAACAGACATCAATCAGTTGGAATTTTCAGAAGCCCAAATCAGATGTTAGTAAAGGTGAGAAAAAATACAAACAATATTTCAATCAGAGTCCAAAGGCATTGACATCTGCTATTCAAGCACAGATTAGCTTGATACCAGCTTCTTCTAGCAAACTAAATGCAGAGAATCCGTAGTAGGAGTGATAAAGATCTGGATGTTCTCCTGGCAATTTACTGAAACCACCATATTGAAGCAGCAAAAAAAGAGGATAAAATGAAAAGCCAAATTCAAAATTTATTCAAGGATGAAAGCAATAATGCAATAGGCATGATAGTCTTGCAAACCTTTGACAATTTGATGATTTCAAGAACAACATTCTTCCTTGATTTTCTAGGGAAACGATTCATATGGGACTTTTTCTTGCAAGGAATGGAAAGTGTTGTTAACTGTATAAAACCTTGATGATTTATGATATTAAATTCATACATTATGATACATGATCTTATTCGTTTATACCCAGTTCTTCCTTATATTTTTTGACAAGCATACAATGGTTCATATAATGAAAATCTGGAATCTAATCAACACATCAGGATGCAATCAATAAAGGCTTACGGAAGATAAAATGAAAATACAATGCAGCACCTGGGACTGGCAAGTCAGTAAAAATTGCTGTAAAACTCCAAGTTAACAAATTTGTGGCCCTCCTAAAATCCTTAAAACTCCTCCAAACCTACAGGAATTGCCCTAATTAGTCCATGGGAATTGCAATTAATTACATCAAATATTGAAGGCATCTTGGAACTTACCAAAAGGCATAACAAGTATCACTAGGCTTGTTGGGCCTAACTTGAAATCCACCACCATCTGCTTGCCTCTGAAACAAGAGAAAGATAGGAGTGACATAACTTGCAGGGCAGGGTAGACACCATGGTTACCTAAAATAAAAGTTGCTATTGCCTGACCAGAAATAAATGCATGAAATAATATATGGTTTTTCCTGCAAAATTAGTCCAATTGCAATCTTTTCTGGGTCTAAATAGCCTTTATCAATTTCTAGAAGCATTAAGCTTTGAGGCATAGTATTTATCCTCTACATATTAAACTATAAATAAACCTGTAGGCTCCAGTCCAGGAGCAGTGGCACATTTATGATGCTAGAAGATGCCCTTGTAGAAAGTTCATCGTCTTCAATGAATCCCATCAACCGGAGAGATGTAACAGCACAAAAAGTTCCACCACCTGTGCCACTAAAACAAATACATTCCTTAAGCAATAGGATGCAAATCCTATAAAAGTTGAATGAACAATAAAAGAGGAAAAAACAGGAGCCAGTAAGGTCTTTGAACATTTACAGACACATCTCAAGGAGCATATAAATGACCACCATCCATGCCCCCCCCCCCCCCCAAAAAAAAAAAAAAAAGAAAAAACACGCTCAAAATGCACATGCCATCAGTTGCCTAACAAGAATTGTAATAATTGTAATATTCTGATTTATTTACATTGCACTTAATTTACGGCTACATCAAGAAAATGCTGAGAATTTCCTAGAAGTATTCCAAGTATTTATATCCACCAATAACTAGAAAACAAATGTGCAATCACTCTATTGTACCAATTACTTAGCAGTTAGTATGCCAACCGAATAGAAAGAATAGAGTTTACCAATGTGGTCTCCAACAGCCAAAATGAAAATTTGAAAATCCATTTACAATCTATATACCTAACAAGTTGGACATAAATTAGCCAGACTAGATGCACAGAGCTTCCAGGATTCTTACATAGATTGAACAAAAAACAGAATATTATATACTCACCATAAGATTCTGAACCAGGAGTCAACCCAAAGCCACCATCATATGACTGCATAAAGAGGGCAACTTGTTATTTGCAATTGCATACGACATCAGAACACAAGGAAATGTTGGACGTATAATCAAATAATCAGATAAGAAAGACAGAATGAAGCAGACAGCTGCAAAGTAGTGGGATAATTTAAAAACCTGAAAATTTAATATGTATTGCTTTGCTTTCTCTTTGTCCATGCACTCCAATTCTCCAACATAGAACAGATGGCAGCTGATGCATCAAATAGCCATATTGATTTTCCATACGGTAGAAGGTCTATATAACACCCTAATATCACATCCATGGAACAAACTTCGTACCAGCACAAAATACGAATCTAAGATTACTCTCTGCCCCAGTATGGATAGGCATAAAACTGCACAACAAAACAAGGATAATTGAGGAGAGAGTTTAGCTTCATCCAAAGGTGATCATTCAGTGAAGGTGTATTATATTGTCGAAGAAAAGTATAAGAATGAAGAAAATCTCCAAATATTTAATGACCTGTTGGAGAACAATCAATAATTATGCAGTTTGAAGCTAGTTATTAAGACAAGCATTGCACCTATTTGCCTTTTTCTCTCAAATGAATTTATTTACAGAACTAGATATGTACTGATCAAGTAACTGAAGGTAGAATGACTAGGTAAGCATTGGCCCTTTCTGCCCCTCTTCTGTAAGGGGTTGTTTGCAGATAGGGCTATTGAAAAATAGTTTTCAACGCAGGACAACTCCGTATAAATTAAGTATGACTGACTATCAAAGAACAAGAAGTTGTTGGAAGAATGAAAATTACCTCCCACCAGGCTGCTGAAGATTTTTCATTGATTTCAAAATAGATTCAGAGTCAATACATGATAAGTTATAGCCAACAGTCTTTAGTATTGCTAGTGCACAGTACGTGCTCGCCAAGTGACTGCCATTGGAAACCCCAACTTACAAGCAAAACAGTCTACTTATAGATGTACAACATGTTGCTCAAATCACTTGGGAGAAAGAATAAAGCTTTAAGGACATTAAATCTATAACAAACAAACCCTATTATCATCCAGATGAAATTGGGTAGTTCTAGAACCAAGGAACCCATAGGATTGTCCTGCAGCAATCCAATAGCTGCATATAAGAATTATGAAACATAGCACTTAAGACCAATTACAAGACCCAGTGTTTCTCAGGCAAGCCGTACCACTATCTAGGTCAGCCTCATTCTTTGGATGAGCTTGCAATGATAATACCCAATTTACGACCGCTTCCTTGTCAACCTGATAAACAAAGGAAATCAAACCGCAGCCCGAGAGACGAAGAAACAAATGAATAAACAAAAAAAACGCTAATGGGTTGAAGCCCCACAACGGGAGTCCGTGTTATTAACTCAAGTTATACTGATTACTTACTTCAAAAAAAAAAAAAAAAAAAAAAGATGCTTATGGAGGATTAGAAAATAGTAAGACCGATCAGTTTATAATGATGCGTTGTTACTACTGTTTGTTATTGATGATCTCCGGTAAGCATAAACAGTCCGGACTATGTCAAAAAAAAGTGAAGTCATGTAGTTGATGCAATTGGTAGAAGAAACCCACATTTATGCATCGTTGAAGTTGGAGTTCTTTATTAGTTATCTAGCAGAAATTCATTGGATCTCCTTCCAAACTAATCGACACGAAAAATAATGGAGAATAAATTTCAATAATTTTTGGGTTTAATATTTCTAAAGAGTTGCTGACACGTTCATAAATAACTGGCCAATTGCCTGATTTCAAAAGCTCTGATTTCAAGATTGGAGCTAACAAACAGCAGAATTGTGAGATTTAAACGTACACGGTCGACGGCGCCAAGCATGTCGAGGCCGGAGACAACGAAGTAGGCGAGAGTGAGGCGATTGATCTCTTGACCCTGGTACTCCGACGGCAATAGCTCGTACATCATCTCCAGAAAACGAAAGTGACCATCTCAGTCGAAATGCGTCGAATCCGAAGAACTCCCTCCTGAATCCACGGATCGGTTCAAATCAAAGGGTTTCGAATCTTTCGACTTTCGGTCAGACACAGCCTGAGCGAGCCTCAGTTCGCCAGCAGCGCCTAATGAGCCAAGAGTTTCTGCATGTCCTTGACGTTGCAAACCATCCTTCCTTCCTTTCTTTCTTTCTTTCTTTTTTTTTTTTTCTCTTTCCTAAAAAGATGTTCTTGATACCCAGGAAATTACGAGATGATTTCATAAAACATATATTATTTCAAAATAAATAATAACAAAATAAAGTCTCTGATGTTTTAAAGGAAAATTCGATCTATGTTTTGGTAAATTTTTTTTGTTAATGTTTCAAAAAAAAAAAAGTAATCTGAAAATAGAAGTTTATATAATAAAACATTAACAAGTCGTTTGAAAGGCTATCTTGTCTCTCATGTAAGCTTTAATCACATCCCGAACAACTTGTAAGTAAATGCTTTCTTGGTTCTCCAGCTGAGAAGTGTCTGCTGTCTAAACAACCTGCAAGTTGCTCGCTTTTGGATTAGCAGCCATAGCTAAAACTCTAAAATAATCGATATTCTTGGATTGAAGAAATTTCATCCCATTTTTTCTCTCATATTGGTTGTTGACAAGGCTTTGTTTGACACTGAAATTAAAATTACTGATTGTTAAATAACGATTTATTTGATATTAAAATTAAATTTACTGAGTAATTGTTTTAACATTTATCAGATATGTACTGGTCATACACAATAATAATAGACAAATACCACACATTATATAAACACTGGGAACACTTTTTTGATAAATTTAGTCTTATTATTAAATTGTTGGGATGAGACCACTTTCTCAATATATTAAGTTTATTAGGTTTTATTATCAATTATACTATTTATAATCTCAATAAAAATTTTAATTTTTTTATCGAATAGAAAAAAAGAAATATAAAATTCTTGCTCATGACTTAAAAAAAAAACAAAGAAAGAAATGAAAGGCCAACAAACAAATCCGCCCCTGTTCTTACATCTCCACTAAGTTCTTCAATTTTTTTCCTTTTTATGACATTTTTGCCAACATAAACAAATTAGTTAATAGCAAACTTCGATCCTTGCTTGTGAGGCAGTTATGTTCAAAAATCACATCAGGATCTAACTTAACACATCTGAAAATAATCCATATTTGAAGGCTTAAACTTGATTCTCATGTTTGTATCCAACCATTTGGTGAGCATGATTAAGGTGAACAGATTGAAACCCGAAAGGAGGAAAATTTACTCACAATTCTCAATCTGAAAATTTGACAATCAATCACAATCATGTAAAGCTAAAAAGAAAAAGAAAAATAATGGTTTTAGGAGATGATGGGTGACTAATGTCAAGAAGCATGTAGTCATTTTCTGAGTTATGAGCTTTGATTTAACGGATATTTCCCCCCCTTGTGCAATTTTACACACTCCATTTTTTCTCTTTGATACTCGTGCATGAAACTCTTTAAGGATCTCGCGGTTCACTTGTCACCCGGCCGAATAATCAACCGCGGCAAAGAGTGCAAATCAGAGAGCTATTTAAGATCTTGACCCATTTAATTGAATTCCCAGCACAGGGGAAATATGAGGATATGTCGTTCAAAATCCATAGGACTGTCGGAATTTTTTTTTATTTTTTAAAATTGCTATTTATTGACAAACTGGTCCTTCCACTAATTGGATGTTTACAAAATGCCTTCTCCCTTCAAAACTAACTAACTAATTTACAAATTGTATATTACAAATAGAGATTTTTAACACTTTATTACTAAACATTATAATCTTGTCACTTTGCACTATAACAGTAAAAAAAAAAAAAATGTACACTTATTATAAATTAAGGACATAATTGAAAATTTGTATTATCGAGCGTAAACAGATAAAAAAATAATTTAAATTCTATTTTTCTCTATTACCACTCTATTCGACATTTTAAAGATTTTTAAAATATTTTCACTCATTCATTTCATAAATTAATTAATAAATTCTAATCAAATGTTTCAAATAAGTTGACTTGTTTAATTATTAAATAACTATTAATAGATTTAATTATCAATTATTATTAAATAATTATTAATCCATTAAATTCTAACCCATTTATTTGGACAAAGAATGACAAGATTTTATATTTGTTTTACAAAATTATTTTTTATTTTCAAAAAATAACAATGTTTGGTATTATTTTTAAAATTATTCTCAACACAATTTTTAGAAAACATGCTCTTTTTATTTAAGAAATTTTAGAAAATTTCAAATTTTCACTTTCAACCAATAAAAAATGTAATAAAATGAAAAAAATAAAAAATATAATACAAGTTTAAAAATATTTAAAACTATCTTTTTTTCTTCATTGTCTTATTCTCTAATATAAATAAACAAATTATATTTAAAAAATAAACAAATTAAAAATTTATTGACATGCAATATTTAAATATACAATGTTACAAATTATATTTGTTCAAGAAAATAAAAATAAAATAAAAGTAAAAAGATAGAAAAAATAGAGAGAATATTGAATAAAGTAGACAATAGAAAAATAAAGTCTAGGTTATTTTTTTGTCTTTTTGTCTTTGATAATATAAATTTTTAATTTTACTCTTCAATTTTGCAGTGAGGGTACATTTTTCATAAAATTGACATACTGAATACCAAAATTATAATATTAAAATATAAATTACCAAAAACTCCTACCAGTAGAATGCAACTTGCAAATTAGTCCTCAAAACTCACTAAAAAGGGCGACCTTCCGCCTAGCAAAGGGCACCCATTCTTTCTCTCTCTCTCTCTCTCTCTCTCACCTTCTATCCTATTCCCGTCTTTTTCTATTTCATTTCACAACTTAAAATCGGAGTGATAATTTCCAACATTCATAATGTGTTCAACATGAAACTGATGATTGGTAGTAAAACACCGGATCCCTTGAAAAAATCTAAACCGCATTCAGGCTTTGCTTTTCTGCCTGCTGTCGGAAGCCAAACCACAACTCTGAGCTCAGATCCCATTAGGGTTTTTGACGGGTGATGAAAACATAAAAAGTAATGGTCAGATGGGAATTTATACTTTGTTAAATTTCTAACTGCCTAAGGTCAAAACTGCCCCGAAAAGAAAACAATGTTTGTTCCTGAAAAGCCAACCGTATTGAAAGAGCTTGTCATTTGAAACTTTAAAGAGGTACAAAAGTCACCCAGCAAATGTTCCCCCTCTTAACAAACACTTTAATAAGACATAATCCGTTTGGAAGTTGCAATTGCAACATCATAAGGTGAAATATGCTATAGAAGTTTTGCCGCTCCCAGCAACAAATAATATGTGTAAATAAAGTAACAAACAAATACTAACACACGGGCCCCTTATGGCTTGTACAGGTCGCATAAAAATCAAATGGACAAAAAATGAATGAAATCTTGAACACTGCATACGAAGAGCTGATACACGCAGCACATTGTAAATATCTTTGGACGGATGAGGGAAGCCTTCTCTAATTATAAATTGCACAGAAGAGAAAGCTAGTCTTACAAGTTACAAGCCCTTGAGAAGCAGACAGAACCAATTAAGTAGAACAGCAACCACTCTTCTGCCCAACGGGTTGCCCTTTTATCTGCACTGTTGGTGGCTTGGCATTGCTCACGGGTTGACTAGCCATCCTGAGATCAATTAAAAGAAAAATAAGAAAAACCTTGAAAATATTCAATTTTTGTTAATTCTGAATATAATAGTATCTCGGAAATCTTTAGAGATGGACAAGTCATCAATAAGACACACAACAGACACAAGGCCTAATGACAATGCCCATAACGACTCAGTGTTCTGTTGTGCTCACACACACAAAATAATATATATGCACATATATTTTCCAAATTCTCAGAACAGCAAAGCAAGATATGTGCAGTCAACTCCCAAAGTACATGGTCAATGAAGTCACAATGCTAATTAGGTTAAATCCATAGTAACCATACCTGTTCTTGATGTCAGCAGCCATAGCCATGAATGCCTGTTCCACATTGGTAGAATCTTTTGCACTAGTTTCCATGAATGGAATGCCTATCTCATCTGCAAATGCCTTCAAATACCAAAGAAGTATTTTCCTGATTTCCCTACTTTGCCCTTAAGAACATAAAAAATATACAAAAAAGAGCAAGGACTTCAAATATGTACCTTGGCTGTCTCGTAGGACACAACTCTATTGGCAGCCAGGTCGCTTTTATTTCCAACAAGAAGTTTGTTGACATTCTCATTGGCATAGCGATCAATTTCATTCAACCATTGTTTAACATTGTTGAAACTCTCCTGATCCGTTATGTCATAAACTATCTGCCATATGTAAGCAATATATATAAAAAAATTATAAAATGCAGACAAACCTGCATAAAGGAGGGGACGAGAGAAAGTAATGCCAAGAGAAAAAAGGAAAAGGAAAGCAGGGAAATCAGGGACAAAAACTTACTATAATTCCATGTGCGCCACGGTAGTAACTGCTTGTAATTGTCCTAAATCGTTCTTGCCCAGCAGTGTCCCACTGCATTCCCAAATATAAAATGTAAAGGAGAAGCAGAGAGGATATATGTACCAATATGGGCAAAGCAACAACCAGTTTAAAAAAAAAAAAATTCATAACTGGTAAGACTGCCAATCAAGGTCATATGTATAAGAATACATCATCAACCAGGTGAGAAATCTTGAACAAATACTATTTGAATTTATGTCAAATAACAGAATACTGAGAACTGTCAGGCCAGGGAAGGAAAAAAAAAAAAAACTAAACTTTTGACATTTAGGCAGAACCATTTGCTTGCGGCATTAAATGGTCCTAATAAGCCCACAATAATATCTATCACAGAGGAATGCAGATCTAGGAAATCTTACAATTTGAAGTTTAATGGTCTTTCCGTCTTGCTCCACAGTGCGTATTTTCTACAGGTACAAAAGGACAAGCACAAACATGATTAGAGCTACTTATTATGCGCAGTTGACATTTACTTAAAACCATAGATACAAGATGCTTACAAAATCAACACCAATGGTGCTAATGTAACTGTCCAGATATGAATCATCCTGTGCCAGAAATACAATGGAAACTTTTAGTTGACTAAGGAATTTACCCAGAGTAAATTATCATGATATCTTCAACTTCAGTATCCAGCGCAAAATAACATAGAAATTGTATTCTCTAAATGTATACTATAAGCTAATGCTCTACGCCCTTCCTCAAATGTAATGAAGCCATAGCATAACTGGAATAAATGCATGACATTTTATTAGACAAACTACAAAACATCAACAAGACAACAGTAACTAAATAAGAATTCTCAGCAACAAAGTTAATATTCCACTAGGAAACACTTTAAGCAACAACTGATTTCTTAAGGCATAACATGTATCAAAACAATAGAAAATAATAGAATAAATGTTTCCTAGCCAAAATAGTCATATGTTTCCCAAGAAGAACTAATCCAGTTTCTGATCCTGTTGCTCATTTTTCCTTAACCGAAAAACAGTAGTAAAGTGATAAAAGTATCCATCGTAATGACAAATAGTTATTACGAATTACAAGCAATAAGTGTGCATGCCAGCATGGGTTCCTGAAATTTGCTCATGCTAAGAGGCCTATCATGCATGGTTATTTCTAGCATCCCATCTGGAATTAGTTAAATAATTAGGCTCTGAAACAGTTTATAATTATAAGGGATGGACGGCAGCATTAATTTTGCTTAACATGTCAATTTATCATTGTGCCAAGTCCCAAAAACATATGATATGATATTCTCTTCCTTAAAACAAGTATGGGCAAAATTACAGGCATTGGAACACCCTTACAGCAAATCTCAGAAGAAGGCAAGACTTTCCAACTCCTGAGTCTCCAATGAGCAGAAGCTTGAACAAGTAGTCACTGCATATGACAAAAATAATAATAATTTTAACTTCAAGGACAGCTGCAAATTACAAATGGTAACTAGGTAATATATCTAGAATTCCAATTGTATTATGGCATGTCTAAGACACTAACAAATGTGAACTTAATCTAAACACTTAATCGGTTCCATGTGCTGAAAAATCTATTTTCATGTTATAGTAATTATTAAAAAAAAACATCTTCCCTGAAGTCTTTAAATCAATGGTCAAGCAGAGAACTGTAAGGACTAAGAAGTTGTCGCTTTTGTATGTGGATCTCAATTATTTTTCCTTCTCTAATTTTTCAAATCATTTACTTGAGTGATGCATTATGAATGTCAGTAAGTCATTTATTTATCCTCCCTTCTTTTGGTTAGAATCAATTCAATTAAGGTGAATTGAAAGTGGCCATTTCAATGCATCAATGGCTGTATTCTTCTCTTTGCCATGCCTAACAAATTCCATAACAACACGTGAGCATTGGACTAGAGTAAATCAGAAATGAGGACAATCACTTTCCAAAAGCCCCAAATCAGCAACACCTACAGAATTCCAGCTTTACAGGCTGTTCCTTTTGTCAAATTACATAATATCCAAATCCTATTTTCAAAAAATACCCTTAAAGCAATGAATCAAGAGAAAACATATAGCATTAACAATGTTTAAATCTAAACTAGAGAGGCAAATCCAACAATAATAGCGACTATTCAGAAAGAAAGCTCTACACCAAAATACTGCCACAACAGACAAAATATCAATAGAGGTATTGACTTCGCTTCCTCTGATCCTCCCTTCGAAGCTTGTTCAGCTAAACTACAACTATACTAGAGTTTCTGAAGAGTAAACAGAATATCAGCATATCCTTCAGGTTTGTTCATAATCCCACATAAATAATTATCTCAAACAATCCAGATCACAAAACCTGAAATCAACTAATCAATAACCATGTCATAAATACGCAAGACAACCAATCAGATTAACAACATGACATCCAAGATTAGCTTGAGATTTAGAAACCGCGACGCAAAACAAAATAACCATTACTTAAGCAAATTCGACGAGATCTCAGCGAATTACAAATCTCAAACATCGTGCAAATAATGAAATCATTTAGATCATTCGAACATAGAGAGTGACCAGGACGACTTACTATTCGGGATTCATGACGTCTCGCCTTTGAAGAAGCAGGGCAGTTCAGCGGCCGCAAGGAAATACAGATTCTCTCCCCTCCCGCGGCAGAAAAAAACCTCAAAATCAGATCGCTCACTACGAAGGTACAAGACCACGACGAGGGGAGTTTCCGCGAAGCAGTGCGTGCACGAGACGTAGATGGGACGAACCGAATTAGCCGGAGACTGTGAACGTAATAAACAAGGCGAGTGGGGATCCAACGAGACACCATTATATTCTGGTCAATAAGGGCGGGTTTGATTTTTTAGAATTCCAAAATTTTGGTTTTTTATTTCTAAGAAATTATTAAAATGACTCGTATAAAATAAAATTCATACAAGTGTATATATCAAATGTAATTACAAAATAGAACGACTAAATACAGTTTAATAAAAATTTTACACAAATTAATTAAAGTTAAGTACCTTTCCCAATATTAAGTTTAGGGTCTGTTTCCATAGATTTTCTTCATAAGTACTTTTTTAATAAGTGATTTTCATGAAAATAATTTTATAAAAAGTATAAGTTATTTTACATTTGCATATTGTTTAAATAAAAATGTAAAAAGTTCTTTTTTCTATTTACATTTCACTATTAGGGTTTAACGAGGTAGAAGAAGGTTAGAATTTACTTTACCGAACTAGGCTCGCCACCCAGTTGCTTGGCTCATCTATCGTCCATCTTGAAGGTTGATTGTTGTAGCCTGTTCAACTATAGCCTTGTCAGTTTTCTATTGTTGACCAAAGTCAAAAAAATTGCCGTCCTCTCATAAGTAATTTTATTACCAAAAAAAAATTACTTAAAAAACCCATCCAAACGCAGCCTTTATAATTTAGTAAGAGTAATTATATAAATAAATAAAATACAATTATATAGCCATATAAATTAATATTTATTGATTTTTATAATTGTCCTTAAATGATATGATAACTATTTTTCAAATACTTAGTCATATTAACTACTTATTTTTACCATTATTTTTTATTTCTATTTGTTGTATTTTTTATATTTACGATTAGTTTACGTTTGAAAAATCATGTGTAAAATAATTATGGGTAAATAAATTCTAATTCATTTTAATTTTTTTACATTATAAAAAATTATCTATATATGTGTGTATATATAACAGGAGATGAATTTTATGCAATTCCTTTCAAACTCATATTTAAAATGATAATTCATCTCGCCTTCATTCTCATCTTTAATTTAAAACGGAGATAAATTTTCTAACCCCTTTTTTTAGGTAAAGATAAATATTTTAACTTGAACTTGAGACGAGACAGAGATGAAGACGAGAGAGCTGCTTTTTGTTGACGAGATCTGATTTTTAAATTATAAATAATATCTTATATCTCTTTGTGTGTATATATATTTTTTATTTCAAATAATTTTATATTTAAATACTTTGTAATATTTATTATAATTATAGACAAATTATATAATTTATTAGTAAAATATAAACTGCAGAAAATATTGCAAAGGAAATTTTCCAACTCAGATTCAGCTAATATCAGGAATTTCTAAATTACACTTCTTGTTTCCTAAGTTTCACTGCGGATATCACATCACGGAAGTGTGTAGTTTATAGGCTTCTTATGATTCAATTTCATTTAATTTATATAATGTACTGGAAAATTCTTAGTTTTAATACACACACAATTTATTTTATGAGATATTTAAATATTTTTAAAACCATCATTTAAAAATCATACAACTGATTTTTTTTATCAATATATTAAATTTAAATGACTGAATATTAAATATTACTAAAGAAACTTACTTTTAACATGTATGAATAAATTCAATTTTAAGTACTAAATTTTGTAATGGAACAAATCCTAAGTGTCAAAAAGAAAAATAAATATAATAAACAGGACATCAATTTAATTATCCCTTATTCTTGTCCTCATCAATTTTTTTTAAATTTTTTTAAAAAGATGTATTAAGTAATTTCTCCCCGTTGGATTATTGTCAGGCCATCACCAGAAAGCCCAAGGACGGCTCGTGTCCAAGTGGCAGCAAGTACGTCTTTCCTTTCGCTCAGTAATTTCAACAAGCACTTCTTGTGCAAGACAAATTAACTCAACGCAGTCGATGGCGGTGAAGGGCAGCAAGGCCACAGTCTTAACGTTCGCTGAAAAATGCAAGGTCTGTCTCTCTCTTTCTATGTGTGCTTACATGCGTGGTCACTTCCGTTCTTGGCCTGTTTTTTCCCGTAACAAGCGCAAAAGTTTATTAACAAGAACAAGTAATGGACAGAGCATTTTGGCATCGAATTGGCGAGGAAATCTCAACACGATCAAAGCTGACGTCAAGGGAAGGTATGAGACTATCAAATGATATTTGAGATAACCAGTTATTTTTGTGTCGCATCAAGCAATCGCTTTTTTGTTGTGTTTAACTGCATAATGTTATATTTTCAGCAAGGAGGACATTTATACCTCTAAAGTTAAGTATTTCATAAGGAAAGGCAAGCCGTACAT